CAATTTATACCGTCACTGTTGTAGCCAATTTGTAATTGAACTATCTGCAAGAGATACTTAAAATAAAAGTTATAAAATAAATTTAATTGATTAAGCAATAGGTTGTAACTTTCATGTTGTCTGTTTATTATACAGATTTCAGATTGTGGACGCCCACATCGAAAAATGAGCTTACTTCCTTTATTTTTTTTTTTCATTTATTATTTATTTTGGGTTCCTCGTTAAACACTACCTGACAAAAGAGAGTCCACGAAATTTAAAGATGTAGTAATATAATGGAATGTAATAATAATAATATATGTATAAACTTTCCATCTCTAGACGCTAATCAAATCCTAAATCGTGATTGAATCACATACTCTAATTAATGAAAACATAATCCAAACAGAAAAATCTCAAAATAAGATAACAAAAGAAGAAATAAAATTACTTACCCGGTCAATTACAATGTCACATCACGACGATTGTGATCAATTTTGGTCATTTGCGCTCCTGCTTCCCGTTTCTTTTCATTCTTTTATGTTTAATAAAATAGAAATTATTACAATACTACTTATAGGAATGCATAATGAAATAAAATTAAATAAATAAGAAGAGAACACATATACATATATACGCTTGTGTGGATATGCTTGGCTCCTCATACGCCATCTACATAGGGCCATCGATTTTCCGGTGGGCTCTGCAAATGGCATACAGGGAGCCAGGCATATACGTATATATATATATACATATGATCAGTGTATAATAAACACATAATCCTCTCTCTTTCTCTTCATAGTGATCATATTCTTGGTGTTGGAACTAATTAAAATCCATGCAAATGAGAAAAAATGCCAACATATAAAAGAAGCAAAAACCAAATCAACCCTCCATTTGTTAAAATGCCTTTGGGAAGTAAATAAAAATAAGCATAAAATACACATACAAAAACAACAAACACGCACTAGATCCTTGTGAAATGGCAGAAAACAAGCAAAAACCAGAGGCTCAACACAAGAAAAGGGCTTGCTCCTAATTTTTTGTGGATTTTTTCTTTGTTTTTCTAGAATTTCATTGTGAGGAGTGAAAGAAGGAGTTTTTGTGGGGATTTTACCCACTAAATATAGAAACACGTTAGAGAGAGAAAACAGAAAGGTGTCTAATCTAACCCGAGAGGAAGAATGGGGTTTATGTTATAATGTTGTAAGATTTTCTTGATTTTCTTTTTATTTTTAATTTTATGTTTCTTTTTTACGAAAAAAAAAGGGAAAAAAAAAAATGGTTTGAAATCTCCTTTTTCTGGGTCGTAAAGTAAAGGTTGCTTTTTTGTTCCGAATATGTTTGTCTGGGAGCGTTTGGACGACCTGGATTCCTCTCTCCCTCTCTTACCACATCTCAGAAAACTTTCTATTTTAATTATCAAAAGTGAAATAAAAGTAAAATCAACAAGTAGTAATTAAATAAGTAAAAGATTTCACATAATGTTGACCACTCAGAAGAAAAATGAATTGTGATTTCACCCACTACAACAATAACTAGGGCAATATGTGATAAGACTGTTTCTTATACTATATAAGTCTAGTAAATCTGATATGATTCTAATAAGGAAAAATGTAAATATTTATGTACTAACTTTCATCTTTTTTATTTTTTATTTGTGAGTTTCATCTAATAGCTTTTTTATAGTGTTTCAGTATTTACATATATATACATATATTTTAATTTGTATTTGTGGATAAAGAAAATTTGTGGCCAATCAAATAGCGTCACGTGGAAATTAATTTATTAAAATCAAGTAATATTTTCTATTTATATTTTAGGAGTTTCCATAAATTTAATTCCTAATTTTAAATTGTTAATTAATTGATATTTTAATATTTTAATTCTTGACCAATCAAATAATGTATGTGTCAAATCTTAATTCTTGGTAATAAATCACATGTCTTCTAGAAGATTTTGGGAGATCTATGTTGATCTAAAAGATCTTATGTGAATCATCATGGACCAATCAAATCGCGTTCTACGATTCTTAAATTTGGTAGAGTTCTCCCTCCTACACCTATAAATAGGGGATCTCCCTAAAACCAAAAAGACACATCATAATTCATATTCAAAGTTCAATCCGGAAACAAGTTGCAAAGTCTCCAAATAACGTTAGTAAATTCAAAACCGGCATCTAAGCGTTCGATCCGAAATCAAGGCGTTGGCCCTCGGATTAACGTTAATTCAAGTCAAATCAAGTCAAGGAGAAGATCAAGCCGAAGATTTCGCTCCAAGACTTAACATTGTTCGTGAGAAGAAAGAAGAATTAGAGGAGAAATTAGAGATTGTAACCCGTTATATTATTTTGATTTGAAATCAAGGCGTTGGCCCTCGAATTAACCATAATTCAAATCAAATCAAGTTAAGGAGAAGATCAAGCCGAAGATTTCGCTCCAAGACTTAACTTTGTTCGTGAGAAGAATAAGAGGAGAAATTAGAGATTGTAACCCATTATATTATTTTGATTCGAGAAATTCATTTGAATAATATTTTTCGTGTTTATAAATTCAATATACAAAATTTGTTATTACAATATTGATTTTATCTTGTCCTAGTTTTTTTTTATATATACATATATATATATATATATATATATATATATATATTAAACTGAAGCTCTCTACCTGATTTTTTTTGCTTCGTTGAATTTTCTATTCGCCAGCCGTTTATTGGTGATCCGATTGTCGGGTATATTCAAATTTTACATTTAAAAAATAATTATTTCGTAAAAGTTCAAATGATATTTTTTTTTAAAAGAAAATTTAACATTAGATAATCAGGAACCTAACACCGAAGTTCTAGTTTACGGACAATTCAAATTCGTCAATGTCTGACAACCAATTTACAATCAACCTCTTATCCAGAATAAGAGTACGGACTCTTATTTTGTTTGTCTTTTTATTATTTACAAATTCTTAATTTAATTTTGGTTTTTGATTATTAGATGAAATTCAATTAAAAATTTCTGTGGCTATTTATTAGATGAAATTGACACAAATACCTAACTATAAATGAAAAAAATTAGTGGATAGAAATAAACAAAAACGTGTAATTTTTCCTTCTGATGATATTAAGTTGTTAACTCACAAATGAATAAGTTAATCAGTACGAAAATTTGTTTATTGGGTTTACCTGAAGACATTGTTTGCTATATAGTATATACTGTTGTTGATTGAAAATACCTTTTGGGTTAGTGACGTTGTTGAGCAAATCATAACTGTTAATATTTATGTCGGGCGACTGGGGCGAGTGTTACAACTCAAAAGGAGGAAATAAATCATTAATCAATTCGAAGTGGTTGTACTCCCCAAGTGATTAATTGATCTGTGGTAAGCTTGATAGAATTAAAATTAAATAATTTAAGTTTTTATATATTTAGTGATTTTCAATCTAACAAGATATTAGGTGGTGTGTGTATGTGAATTCGGGTTTTTGAATTTGGTGGTGTGTATGTGAAAAATCACATCACCTAACCTCTTATGTGAATTCGGTGGTGTGTGTATGTGAATTCAACCTTGAGCTCTTGAAAAATCATAATTTTTAAGTGAATCATCTGTATTGAAGACTTTGTGTCTCTCTTCGCTCCCAAATATCTCTCCACTGTAGTAGTCTCGAGCTCGGCCGCATCTCACAGCTCCGCCGGCCTCTCTCCTCCAGGAACGAACAGAGACAAGACGGAGAAGGAGAGGTTGCCTGTTAACTGCTGTTTGTTGTTTTTTTTGTGCATGTGTACTTGAGTTGTGGTTTTTATTCTTTTCTGTAGGAGCGTGTATTCTCCCGTGTGGGAGTGTGTGTATTCTCTACTTGTAGGAGATTTTTTTTTAGTTTTTAGTGTTTGTGTTGTTTGTGGTTTTTAGGCTACCTTGGGTGTGCCTGGTAGGCCTCTGCTCGGAATTCAGCTGTGTAGCCGTGTTTTTAATAAAAGCCTATCGTTCCGAAAAAAATATCTAATATTATACATGAGTGGCAGTGAGTGATTAGTCGAAAAAAGTGTGCATTTTATATTTTTATTAGTGTATTTTTATATGCTTAGTTTTATTGCACTTATATAATTTTTGGCTTATTTATTTATTAGATGGATTTAAGTGCTATGATATATTTATGATTTATTTTCAGGATATTAGAGTATTTTAATAGGCGGCGTAGCACCGAACGAGTATTGAATAGACCAGTGCGGGGTACCAATAGCAGCCAGATTTTCAGCCCAACTTGGGCCCGATTGGTAAATAATTAAATTAAAAGTCACTTAGTTGAGGGGACTTACAAGAGCAAATGTAAGGGAAATTTTTAAGTATGCTACACGATTTTAAAGTAATTGCAACATTACACTTCATACCAATTTAATTGTGTCTATACGTAATAGGCAAAAATTAATAACAATTATACCTAAAATCAGTTACAGATAGTGGAACAACCATTCCATGTTTGTAGCGCAAGATTTTAGGAGCGAAGATGGAAAGATAATCTTCATTGATACAGACAGAAAAAAAAAACACGCCGGTGTCGCTCTTCATTGACAGGCGAACCAGAAAAAAGTTCACGGAAGATTACAGGAAGAACAAGTTCACGTTACATATTGATCGATCGGAGATTCCAGGAAGAACAAGTTCACGGTACATATACTTCAAGAACAAGCTAAACCGGAGGATTACAGGAAGAACAATTTCACGGAAAATATACCGAAAATATACCTCAACACAACACAACAGAACACAAAAATATACCGAAAATATACCTCAATACAACACAATTTCACGGAAAATATACCGAAAATATACCTCAACACAACACAACACAACACAAAATATACCGAAATCATCCGAAATTATCCTGAATCGAAAATATACCACAACAGAACACAAAATATACCGAAAATATACTGAATATAAATCATCCTCCGAAAAGGTATTTCTCTTCTCTCTCGTCGACTCCATGGAAAACGATTCTCGGATCGCCTACCTGGAGATAACGCGGGGATGGCTCATAGACGATCTCGTCGAGGGAGTAGGAGTCGATGGAGAATGGGTCTGCGTTGAAAGGCGTCACTTGGCGGAGAAGCCGTGGGGCGAGGCGTGGCAGCGGGCCTCGTCGCGGATGTTCTCACCCGCGGGGCGGCGGTGCTTGAGCGAGGCAGACGCCGATGCGGCGGCAGAAAGGGGATCGGAGGATGTGGTGGACTTGTGTGAAGGGGATCGGAGGAACGTGTGTAGCAGTTTTCCTTTTGAGGATTTAATTTATCCGTAACCTACGCCCAATCTCCCTTAATTATCTGATATAACTGCAAAATTATCACTTTAGGTATATTAGCAAATTTTTTTGCTTATTTTTGTAATTACATAAATATCAAATTAAGGGACGTAAATTTATAATATATTGAGGAAGGGGAAGTAGAGGGTGCAATTTCCTCCAAATGTAATGGATGCTGAAGGAATAGATGGGTCAAATATTTTATTTAATAAACTTGGGCCCACTAGCTTATTTTGAGAGAGCCATGAGACTTTGAGGGAGTACATACTCACGCAGGCCCACGTGGGACTTATTTCAATTGAGGCAGCCACAAGGGGATTTATTTTTACGAGAGCCGCCACATATTTTTCACGCACAGAGTAGGAGGAAAGGAAAAGAAGACGCAAACAGGAAGAAAAAGCAGACAGGAGAAGATCAATACGCGGAGGGAGGCCGCACACGCACACGAGGGAGAATTTTATTCTCTCTCTTTTCTCTTTTATTATTTATTTTTATTATTATGTTAGGCTAGTTTTTATTTCTAGTTCCGGGGAAGTTGAACCCTACGATTTGACGATGTTTGATTAATTTACGTGGTTGATAATTTCAATATCTTTTTGAAATTGCTTGTGTTATTTTGAATAATTCACCATGATGTGTTAGTCTTGTTTAGATTGATCACCTAGATTAGGCTTTTCATATCTACATCTGAGTTAGACCTGCAATCCGTAATTGTTGTTGTGTTTAATTCATAAGAGGTAACCGGAAGATGGTAACTACCGGGGATAGTACGGCCTAATTAAGTGAACGAACGCAGTTGAGTTCACTAATTAGTCTAGCCTATTTTTCTAAATCGTAAAGCGGCTAATTGTATTAAATCTTGAAAACGTTTTTCCGGACTGTACAAGAAGTCAGGTTTAATCGTCGAGCGTCTCGCGGTTAAATTAAAAATAAGAAAAAATTCGGGTAACAAACCGTGTCGTTACCTAGGGCTAGTAATTTCATGAGATAGCGAGATTTGATACTAAAATTGATTAGACGAGTCAGTCGAGAGTGTAGACGGAACCGTGAACTAGAAAGTTCTCTTCATTTATTTATTTTTATTTTTATTTTCTTGTTTAGATTTTATTTATTCCATTAGATTTTTAGGTAGTTTAGTTATTAAATCAAAACCCCCCCATTTATCGCTTTTTATAATTTCAATTAATACGAGAAAATTCACGATTTGATTCACACTCCTCGTGGGATCGACCCTTGCTCGCCACTACTACTAGTTAGTAGGGGTTAGTTGAGGAAAAATATAAATATTAATTTCGCCGCGTTGCGACGCGCGGTCAGTGAGCACGGATGGAACACGCGAAAAAAAAGGCTTTCTCCTAGATCCCCTTTCTCTCTCTTCGATTTTAGCCCTTTCTATACCCTAATCTCTCTTCTCGAACCTTCCCCAGTAGGTCGCAGGGTCCTCATCGGCGGCTAGCTCCGGACTGCGCGGTTTGTCCCCTAAATGTCGTTTGGTGTCCGTCTTTGCTGTGCTGGATGAGCTAATAGATTTCGCCGTTCCGGATTGGACTCCTTCGAGAACGATTGCCGATTTCTTCGGTTTATTACAACCCGCGACTGTCGGAGGTTGAGGTTGTTGATCACCTCCACCTTCAGTAGAATCAAAATCGTCTATATACGGTTGGGTCTTGTCGTCGTCTTCATCCACGTCCCACCACTGCTCGACCGAGGAGGTATCTTCTATTTCATCAATAGAGTGAAATATGCGATCGATCGTTTGTTGATCACCATCGTTGTGTAGACTTGAGACATCCTAATATACAGTTTTCCTCGGCAATGGATGCGCTGCCTATATTTTTCCGCTTTTGTGGGAGAATACCGCTGACATCACCATGGCCACCACGAGAACTCGACATTTTATAACTTCAAAATTTATATATTTTTCCGCTTTTTGGGAATTTTTTTACTGTTTTTTTTACCGCAACGGTTAGATTTTGACCGCAAGCTGCAACAATTCGATTTTGACAGCTGGTTTGACCTGAGTCCTGGGCCGAGCCTGTATAATCATTAAAAAAAAATTGAAAAAATATGACCGTTGCGTTGATTTCCAACGTTCTGATTTTCGAACAGTTGATCCGATCCCATTTGATCATGGGCTGACCTGGTCCTGAGCCAACCAGATAATAAAATAAACGAAAAAAAGATAAAAAATATAAATGACGGGCCTGCAGCCCGACCCTTCGGGCCAGGGCCTAAAATGCATGACAATGAATCGGCTGAACCCGTGGTCAACGGGCTTAATCGGGTCGGGTCTAGCCCGGTCGGCGGGTCGAGCTGCCCGTGGTCATGTCTATATCATAAAAACAAAAATAAAACCTAGCATCACTAGAATAAAACCCTCCTATCCAGCCTGCCAGCCACACCTAGACATGGCCACAGGTCAATCGGCCCGCCAACCCGGTCCAGGCCGGGCTCGGACAAACCCATTGACCACGGGTCCGAGACCGAACCGAATTTTAGACGGGCCGTTTAAGGGTCATCCATTTCATGATCCAGCCCGGGTCGATGACCTTCCTTATTTGTTTATTTATTTTCTATTATTTTTTAAAAAAAGCACGGACCCGGCCCGGACACGGACCCGGCACGAGTATAGGTCCGTGCTGATTCAGGGTTAGTGTTTTCAAGCCGGCGACCCAGCCCGAATTTTGGCCATGTCTAGCCACACCAAAATAATAGGAATGCCACAACTATCCATCTTCACCGTCACACTATTCAAAATGTGTCGATATAATTTGTTGTTATTTCTTTCGTCATCAACCATCCTCCTTATATTAATGGTCTAACTATTTGGACATTGAGATCAAATTTGTTCGGCCTTATTTCAGATTTTGGCAGCCCAAGGTGGTCTTTGCGATCCTGGCCATTCGTACTTTTGCGTGATAATATATAGACATGTTATATCATTTCAATGCGTTCGAAAAATTCTACCCGAACCATTGCCCAATAATGTGGAATAAGCGTATAACATGAACACAATACACCTATTCTACTAATAATAGCACAGAAAATTTTACAATGTGTGTTGTGATGAAATTAACATGGATATAATTAATTAATTAATTAATTAGGGAAAACTCCCTTAGGGATAATTACATCGCCAATGTTGTTGTGCCACGGGTCAGCCAAGTGAGTTGCCAAGTTCTCCAGAGGCCCTGTCCCGGGGTATGCCGACTGTTGCACGCAAAATCCCACGAATGCCAACAAAGCAAGACGACCTTAAAATAACACAAAACCATTTTGTGTTGAATTAGATAATATTAAATATAATCATTCACAAAAAACCCAAGTGAATTCATTTCTTTTTCATACCATTCTTAATCTCCTTGATTTTCAGCTCCTTCAGCTTTTGTGGGTCCTTGGAGTAACCCAACGGGTCGAAAGCCCCACCCGGATACTTCTTTTTTTCTGGGTCTTTCTCCATGCTCCTTTGGTGCTCAACAAATGCAATTGCTAAGAATTCAATCACCAAAATTGTGGGTAGGGTCCCCCACGGAACTGGGTTGCCCAAATAAGTTGCTTGTCCTCCTGGAACTGCGGCCCACTCTTGCGCCTTAACCCAGTTTCCCAGGCCCAATGCCTCCGGGACTAAGATTCCAGGCTGCAAATTCATATACATTAAATTATATCTACAATAAATTATATCTACAATAAATTTCGATCGTTTGAAAATACATATTCATATAGAAGTGGAGAACAAAGAACATAATAATCTTCAATTAATGAATTTAGGTATCCTTCCGCTTTATTTGTTTGATTCTTAATTATTTGACATAAATGGTTTTGAAATTGGATTAATTTCCTTTTGAATTACATTCATCAGTTTTTGGGATTTGGGATTAAGATATGTAAATTGAAACGGTTGAAATAATATTATATAAATAATGGTGACCCGATTTTCTATTATTAAAAACTTATAAAAACTTACAACAGCAAGCATAGCCCATCTGCAGTGAATGAGCTCAGACTCCTTATATCTCTCAAGATTTTCCGGGACTTCTCCTAGGCGAAGTGGGTCGAATCCAAAATCTCTGAAAATTCAAACATTAACATACAAGTTACCGACACTATTATTGTTGTTGTAAATGTCCAAAAAAATGTGAAATATAACTAATGGGAATGACTACAGTCCCGTCACAAAATCATTCTATAATTATTAATTATTAGCTTTTACATACACACATGTAGATTAATGTAAGGTAGATAGATAATCCACAGTTAAAACACACTAACAGAATGATTCCGTGACAGAACTGTCGTCATTTTCTAACTAATTACCAACATATAATCAAGGTGGCTAGTAGTAACTTTGAAATATATAATTTATGAAAAAAAAATTAATTAATGTGACAATAAATTACCCGGGAGCCGAGCCATCGAGGTAGGAGGGACGAGGCTCGCCGGGCATCCACTCGGCGGACATAGTGAACCGGGACTTGGAAGCATTTGAGGCACCGAAACTCGCGAATCTCGACCGAGAAGAAGAAAGGAAGGATGTTCGAAAAGTGGTCGATACGCCGCAGCTCATTAGTGCATTGGCTGCCATTGTTGGATTTGTTATTGAATTAGGATTTGCTGCAGTGTGGGATTCTATTTCTTGGTGGTAGTGGAGATGAGGTTGAGGTACAAGCTAAGTTAAGTATATGGGGAAGTTTGAGGAGGGATATTGGCAAATCCAAATGTTGATTGTGATTGGGTAAGGATAAAGGTATCTGCTGTGCTATTGGGCCACGTGTGTGTTTGCTTCATCCAAATGAGAGGCTGATGTGGAGAGTTGGGTGGATATGTTTGTGAGGGTGTTTTCCATGGTGGAGGTTGAATATGAGAAGGGCCACAAATCTGGTAATATCGATCTCTACTTGATTGAGTGGTGANATTATTTCTGTTCTTATAATATCACCTCTGCTCTGAAAGAACATTTAGACTTAATTACAAAACAGAAAATTATAAGAGAGAATTGTGTTGTTCTTTTCTGCAAGATCAATAGAATTTGTTTCTAGAATATTAAACAAACTAGAGTTTAATAAACAAATTGGAAAGAGCTTTCTCCGGACAAAAGTGTAAGAGTACAAACATAATGAAATCAAAAGAAAAAAAAAAAAAAGAGATTTACATTATTATAGTTCATGTGTAAAACCAAATACGAAAATGACCGAATTAACCTCATCTAACAAACTAACTAGGATAGGATGATAGCTTCTCCTTTTGCCTGAAAGAGAAATCACTCAAACTAATCTGCACCTCATGCTGATGACTGGCCTCTTGAGGTTGAGGTTGAGGTTGAGGTTGAGGATGAGGTGGTGGAGGACGATTCGAATTCGAATTCGAATTCGGATTATTCGGATTTGGATTCTCAACGTCTACCTCAATCTCATAACTCTCATACCTTGTAATGTCATCATTATCATCATCATCATCATCATATATATTTTTTCTATAATGTGATGAGCTATAATTTGAGACCGTCCTAGGAGATGTAGCCATGTTAACGATGTTGTGTTCACTATCATTTCTTTGTCCATTAAGCAAGTAGACTGGGGACAAGCTCCCGTGCATTGGGGAGGCCGGTCGGCTCGAAAATGGTGTGGTGTTAGCCGACGGGCGGCCGTGTTTGAGCTGCTTCTTAGCCTCGTGGTGCCATTTTCTTAGGGCCGACGCCACTGGCTCGCTGAATATCACCGGCTTCATGTTCGATCCCATCTGCATAAACCAAGGCTCGGAATTAATGAATATATACTCAGAGATGTACATGTTGTGTTTGATTACTCACTGTGTTTTAACAATGAATTATCTACTCTACACTACACTAATCTGTTTGTGTATCGTCTAAAGGTTAATAATAACAACCCAATCATTTTGTGACGGGACTGTAGCGATTTTAGAAAAGGGGATTTGTACGTACTTGAGTGACCAAGGCATAGAGAGGGAGAGTTACGTAGCTGCAAATGAACTGCACCACGACACTGCAAAACAAAAAATAAAAATAAATAAATAACCAACAAATTTATTTAATGAATATTTTAAACAAGATTATTATTTGCCAACTACATATGTTTGTTAAGAGAAACTCACCCCATTGAAATCCGAATGACCAAATCTTCTACATTCTCATGGTAGCAAGACGGAAATCCATATTCATACTGTGGATACATATCAAATTAAGAATACAATTAATCAACATATATAAATAAAAACACAATTGTTATATGAATTCTAGTTGTTATAATTCTTTTCATATGCAATTTTTTTAAAGAGACAAACTCACCCAACTCCATGCAAAGAAAGCAAGTTGAAAGGCGTTCTGCAAAAAAAATCACGTCAAATCATAAGTGTTCACTAATTTAGTGATATATTTTGGTAAATATAAATATAATGAAATTTTACCTCGAAAAGGATAAAGTGAATCAAGAAAAGAATTAAGCCGGGACGATTGAACCAGAATAAGTCGTCACCCGGCTGAACGATTGGGGTGCCCTTGATCACATCTCCTCTATCAAGGATTCTTATTCCCATTTTTGTTATGATAACTTGTAATTTTGCTCCAATTAAGAGAAGTATCTGCATATATATGAATTCATATAATCAACAAATAAAATATAATGCCATTCTAGGCCTATGGACTCAATTAAAGTGCATATATGTGCCATATATTTTTAACAAAATTCNAGAATGGCTATTTATTTTCACTTACAACTAAAGGGATAAACGGTAGCCAAAAGTGTGAATACCACCCTGTTCATGTTAAAAAATAACAAAATAAAAATTAGATGAGGAATAGTTTGATATGATATAATACATATTAAGAGATGAAGAAATTAAGGAAATTATTTTTATTTCCCACTAACCGTTGGTGTTGGTGAGGAGAAACAAAACAGCCAAGAACCATATTATTGGGCTGCAAAACCAATATATAATCGGTATAAATTCACAAAAATATTTTCTTATCCAATAAATTAATAATTTACTTTTCACTAGCAAAAGAGTGAACCGAAAATTATATATACCTTATTCCCACTATAATTTTGAAATCTTCTTCAAGCGATCTTTTTATATACTTGTGGAAATTGAAAGTTGCCTGACTCTGAGGTGTCAAATGTTCCTGAAGAATTCACACCAAAATTTTCAGTGTTTCATAGCAATAAACATTTTTTTAATCGAACACTTGTAACATTTTTATTATATATATATATATAAATAAAATAATATTGCTTGCAGGACTTACTGTTATAAAGCCATGCCGAAGTGTCAAATAGTCTACTTTTTCAACTGATCTGAAGAACTGCCTGAAGAAACATACCTGATTGGGTAATAAGAGAAATTTGAGAATTATAAGAGAATACATAAGTTTGATTAAAAAAATTAAACCAAGCATTTTGGACATTAATAACTCATTTTGACAATATATGAATGTTAGCTTATCATGAATTAGTAGCTCTTAACAATGCTGAAAAAAATGTGTTATTATAATCTATATATGTTCGTATAAATCTAATTCGAAGCTACTTCTACTCTGAAAGAGAAAGTAATGTTGCGAAATCGAGATCGAATTAGTTAGGAGGTAATTGTTTATCAATTCAACTTTAACACAACCTCATTATCCTCAATATTATCAATATAATATATCAACAAATTATTCTTACACATCACATCAACTTTAATTCACTATGTCATCCATTCAAATAATTTTAACTAACCATCTCTTCCAATAATTTTTCTCCTACTTTTACATCAAATCAACTTTAATTATTTTATTTTAAATATTATTTTAATATATCCACTAACAACTAATCATACTATCTTTTTTTTTTTTTTAAAATTAACTATAATTAAAAAACACCTATTAAAAACTAGTTGAAATCATATCCAATCACCCCTTAGTCGTTATCTATATATAGAGTGTGAAATAATATATATAGAGTGTGAAATAAATATAACCTCCAATCTATATCAAGTTGTTTTCTGTCCTCTCTTTTTATTTATATGATTAATTAATATACAATAATACACAAAGAAACAAAAGAGAGAAAAAAAAATAATGTAATTTAATTTATATATTAAATCATGTCACTTGTATATATAAAAATAATGCATATATTAACAGTAGCAAAGAGTTGCAAGAAAAAAGGTCTTACAATCCATAAAAGAACAGGCGATTTGCTCCAGAAATGCAAATGTCTGCGTCCAAATGAGGTGTCCCTTGCAAATCTGAATCTTTCAGGGTCTGGATCATAAATATTTAGTCAATATTGTTATGTTATAAAATATATATAGAAATCATCAATATTAGTATATTGCTAATATAATATGCAAATTGTTTTATTATTATACTTTTCCAAGTCTATCCGTGTGCTGTAGCAGAGAATATATATAGCCACTTGCTACGATTTGGTCCAATATATAAGTATTTTGAATTCTTGGTCATTATATGTGAAAAAAATATGTTGCACTTTGAATTTGACCACTATATTTCAATATAATTACATCATGCCCCCTATATTTGTTTTTCAATTTGATACAATAAATAAAATCAAGCCCCCCCAAAAGAGACGTGCAGTACGGACATTCTAGGAAAAAAACAATGTGAACTAGGATGATTCTTAATTATACCAATTTGAATTTTTGTAGATGTTCATACAATTGAACCAAAAAGAAAGGACCCTATTTTCAAGGGTTGTTAGTTGTTAAATAACATTAATTGTTTGTTAGACATATAGAAATGATGATGTGCTATTTGATGACATATAATTATAACTAACGCATAAAATATTCGTAAAGTACGGACCGTTGTAGAACTCGTATTGAACCGTCTTTGTTTCATCTTCCCATGATTTCCATTTCCTCATCTGCATTATTCATGCAATCAAATGTTATATAAATAAAAAATAAAAATATAAAAATCGCAAACACTTATATATGGAACTTCAACTTAATTTCACCCGATTTGATAAATTCATTTATATTGACGCAGTCTAAGATAGTGTCAGCACCATACGAGCTGAGTTTGGGCATTTCGTTTTCGTATTCGTTCGTTCATTTTTCGAGCAAAAAATCATGTTCGAGTTTATTTGTTTAATTATTCGTCAACGTTCGAGTTTGGATAATTTAAAAAACAAACTTTTTAAATATGTTTGATTAAGTCAAAAATCTACTCGTTCGAATTCGAAATAAAAAAAATAAAAAAGTTATTTTAGTATTTTAGTTTTTCATTAAAAAAAATCATGTAAATATGCAAAAAAATAGAATAAAATTATAATAAACTAATATTTGCGAACGAGCTCCTGTTCGATTATTAAAAAGCTTAATTTTATTTTGTTCGAACTCGACTCGATTAACAAACGAACAAGCTCTTGTCGAACTGTTGGAGTATCACTTGTGAGTTATCCCACATTGATTTTATAGGGAAATTGGGCCTAACTTATGTGCCTAGTGGACTACTCCTCCCATGACCAATTAATTTTGGGATGAAATTTCACTATATTGCACGTAAGCGCACCCTCTTGTGGTGTACTTCACCTGCGTGAGACCGCACCCTCTTGCCCTCTAAATCATACACAAGAATGAGTTTTTGTTTGCGAACATTCGATTCATTAACAACCCTAGTCCAAGATATCTCATAATGCCATTTTTTTAAAAGACATAATTACTATATTAGGAAAATTCATATAGCTTTCCTAAATATTAATGCACGGCCTAAATAAAAATCATAAAGTATATATAGTGTATTTTTTTATTTTTTATTTTTTCCATGTAACATAGGCTTATTAATTTACCTTTAGTGTTCCCAAGCCATAAGTGATAACGCTGTATAGAATATGAGAAACAGCCAACACAAAAATGAAGATGTGAAGCTGGTGAATTCCATATGCTGACACAAGTTGCACCTGT